ATACAACATCTTCATTATGTATACCATATATGAACTGTCCATGAGAACGTGCCCTGAATGCCCCTAAGCTTTGTGTGATGCAAATTAATAACCTCTGTAGTCTCTTGTTTACTGTTACATTGGTAATGGCTTTTATGGATTTATCTAACTTTTATTCAGGAACATAATTCTTATAATACGAACCTGCGATTTCTTGACATGTTTAAAGTTTAACACAGCTTATATCTCTACTTTAAGATTTTTAACCGTATTATGTTGAGAAGCAGTTTCTGGCGCATTTACAGAAACCGTAAATAATTAGTCTACCAATTTGATTATTTCTGTGGTATGCCGTAGAAAACTAAGTATGTATTTCAGTATTGCGTGTACATTTTAATCGCTTTTATTTACTTATCTTAAAAAAATTAATAACAGCAACTAAGGTAAATTTTCTATTATAATTACTGTCTTTATTTTATAATCACATATTACATTTGATTCAGTAATGTCAAAATGGGTATGATCTGTATGTATATTATATTGGTCAAAATTTTGATTATTCTTCGAAATGGTGAAAACTTTCAGTCTCCTCAGAAATGTAGATTTCAGTATTCTTAAACGTTTTTCTTCAATAATAATAACAGTGCCTCAACGTTGCTTTCCAGTTGTAAGGAGATTTACTTGCTTACATTAAAAATGCAAGTGCGACGATTAAAATTTCATTGTTGAAAGCGAGAACGAGATTATATTTTTAAACAGAATCGTGAGGTTATTCAGTACTTCCAATGCAATGTGAAACCTTTCCCTCAGCAGCTAATTACTTTACTTATTTTCTTATAAGATTTTGAATTTGACTCTTTATTCTTTTAACTGCGTAGCTATGTTTATATCATGTGCTGCTGCATTATCTCAATTCCACAGGTCTTTAGTGTCGAGAATATAGCTCCTAATGAAGAAGATTCAAACTGACACAGATGGATGAACAAGGCTTAGATGAATGGATTGAAACTGACCGCTTCCTATGAGCTCGCCTGCTAATTGAAATATGTATTAGACATCAATTTCTAGGCGTTCAGTTAAGCCATTTGACTCGTGCTTGAATTATACTATATCTACATCCTCAGAAGCTTATTGATCGAAAATGTGTATAATCATTCAGAGAATGTTCAGAGCTGGACAAGAATTATGCAAATGAGTTATGAATGCCATCTATTCACGTCTATAATAGAATGGAGGATCTACTAAGCCATTTGCACTTTGTTCAACTGCAGAGTGCATGCGAACGAAGAGTTTATCTTAGTTGCTGTCTTAACTTTAAGCATTTACTTAACGTAGCTCTGGTACAAATTTACTTCGCAGCTCAGCTGAAAACGTTTAATGTAGATTATTTCATTTTCATATCTCATATACCAATTACGAAGATTTGCATGATATTTCAATTTTTTAAATACCACGAAAACTTCGAGATAAAGTCTAAAAAATTTCAAATATTTTAGCGAAGGTAGAAATATCTTAACTTTTGACAGAATGTTAAAAAGAATTCAGCAGCAGTTTTTAAAAGCTTGTATTTACTTTCATGTGATAATTTCATGTGATTTCATTTGTAAATAGGGAGGAAATATACGTAGGCAATTTTGGAGAGAAGTCTTAAAGATGTAACAATAATTTCAAACGGGAAAATAATAATGTCTATTAAACATAATTACTTTGAGAAATCATATTATTTAAAAAAAACTCATTTCTGAAGTTCTCATTTAGGAAACGGATGTGTAGCTTATAAGAAAAGAGCTAATCAGTATAGTACGGATTTTGTCTGAGCATGTTTTCATGTCTGATTAATTATACTTGCAGCGCATCCCATGCACTTCAGTCGTTTAGGATTTGGGAAAGTCTCTAATTTAAGCATGTCAAATCAGTTAAAAGTTTTAATAGAGATGCACTGAGCAGTAACTATGAATATGATAGAATTTGCATTCCTGTTGCTACTGGTATCATTAGTGCACTTATTATTGCTTTATTTTTTGTGATCTAGGCTCTGGTTGCCAGGAATTGTTATTAGCTTATTCTTCTGTCTGTGAGTTGTGCTAGTTTTAGTTTGTCTTACGTTTTACTGAGGAATAGCTCATCTGAAGAAGTGCTGGTTTTAAGCACACAGAATTTTTGCTATTGCTTTTGCTAATAAACTCTAATCGCTATTATTCGTTCGTTTTGCCAGTATGAAAGAAAAACAGCTACGATATTAAAATTAAATGGAGTATTTCTGGTGGTTTAAAAATAATATTTTATCCTCCTTGAAATCCAAAAGGAGTACATAAAATACTTCTATTGTTTCAAAATGAGGAAGCAAAGCTATAAAAATATACTGTATCCGAAACCGTCGGTTAAAATGAACATCACTAACACCAAGGATGTCTGCTAACAGTAATGTTGGATATTGAAAAAACGATACTACCTTCAGCTAAATTCGGATTCTATGTAATGATGTAATCTCTAAAGCTATGTAATGATGTAATAAAATTAGGTATTTTCAGGTGCTAGAAATTAAAACAAAGTTGAGCTACTGAATCTACAGTTGAATATATAGCATGACAGTCATTCGATAATGCTTGCAAGAACTTTCTGTGAGAGTATTCATCAGAGAACTATTAAGATATGCGAAATTATAATATTATATGCCTATAAAATTTGATATTTTTATTTAGATATTTTACATCTCTAGGTATTTAAGAGACATGATCTCTAGGGCAACTACAACCCCTCTTAGATGATGTCCTGCTTTGATGCATGCACAAATTGGTGAATATTGACCTCGAATTTATGTCACAAAACTCTATGCATAATAAGGAAATTTAGCTACAATAAGGTCATCTATTTTTAACTTATTAAAATACATACTGTTCTCACTTGATGTAATGCTTTATAAATTTCTATTCTTTATAATGGTATTCTTTCTATTGTTTATAATAACTTTATAATAACGAAATTATTCAGAAATACTTTACAGTAAGAACAGAAACAAAGTTACGGCTTTCAAAGAAAACCATAAACTATTTCTGTTATTTTTAATGAAGATATTTATATTTTTCTTTTACCTTTCTGTTTTATTAAATATAATGCAATATAATACAACTTCTTAAATATATTGTAATATACTGTAACTTATTATTAAACTATTTTGTCGTCTTGCTTCAGAATTTTCTTATTTTAGAACATAAGGTTTCTTTTTTTAAACTGTTAGAAGGCTTGGCTTTACCTCACATCCGTTACGAAATTCGTGTGACTGTAGATTTTGAGGAGTTCCTTAAAGCTTAGCTTATTTGTTCTGCACGTTTCCTAAATATTTTGAATACATATTCAACAGAATGCACTTCCTCAATTATTGTTTCGGAATTTCAAATTCTTTCCTCATCATAAAATGATCAAGCTCATCTGTTACCATGAGAAAAAACTAAACTATTTAGTATTATCAGAGTTGGTTTTCACGCATACACGAACAATTTAAACTGCATCTGGAGCTTTATAACTTTAGCATATCATTTTTCAATTAAATCCTTTTCACTTTCAAATAGTTGTAAGCTCTCTATATATCTCGTTTCATGATATCGTTTCTTATGACTTCGCAGTATCCAATCCTTTTAAGGTTTATCTTTTAATGAATTATATATGTTCCGGCTTTTAGCGTCTATTATATTCAAAGTATAAACATTTCACTGCAAAAAAATAAGATCTTTTCCGATACCATGAAATTCGACTATGATGAAGATGTACTCTCTTTTTAACGTAAAACGAGTACATTGATAAGCTTGAATTTCATGTAGGTAGTGAAGATTTTCTAATACTCTAGGATATTTCCATTGGCTGTTATATGGATTTACAACATTTTGGATCAACTTAAACGTGGCTATTGTTAAAATTTTAGATGTATGCTAAGTTACTAGGTATGGTTGTAATTAGTTTTGTAATTACGAATATACTTGCGCTTCAAAAAATCTTTAGTGATTCAATTAAGTTTATTTTAAACATCTGAGCCTTTTTACTCAGCAATTTTAAGTAAATTAATAGTTAAAACGAACTGAATATTCTTGCATTGGCCAGATATGTACGAAGCTTTAAAATATTAAAATTTTGTGCCTCCGGTTCAAAGATAATTAGCTTTGTATATTAGGAGAGTGCACAAGTCCTAGGATAAATAATCAATAAGCTGAAAGGACCAGACCCCGTTCCTTAAAAGGTATGTGTGCATGAGTTTTAACTCTTAATATAAATAATGCATTCTACAAATCTTTCTGAAGTATTCCAACATTTCCTACCTCTTAATATTTTTAATATTATTTTTAATCCTAATAAAAATTGCAAATTATGTATACAGTCACAGTTAAAGTTAAATCGCATTATTCGGGAATCCTTTTATATAACCAGATGCAAATCCATAAGGTAAATTATTTTTTTATGATTTTAAATAACTTAAATATGCATTTAATGGCAAAATATTCAAACGGCTGAAACGGCTGCAAGAAAGGTAAGTGAGTAGTAATTCTTATTCAGGTTTTAAAATCGATGGTTTTATTCCACTTTTCTACCATATCCTAAGAATACTGGATCGTGTTTCCTTTTTATGGTACAGCAGTCTAAAGAATCCTTGCATTATCGAAAAACATTTTAATATAAAAATTTAATAACGCATCTGCACAACTTATTTTATTACACCTTGCGGATGATCGTAGTAACACACTTCAAGTTCTGGATTATTCATTCTAAGCAGGATTATAATAAAAGTTTATCGCACTTATCTTATTACAGATATGTAAAAGATGTACCAAGATTATGCTTCACACAAAATGATGCAGTAAAGGACTGAAAGAAAGAACTCGCTTTGCATGCAGCAGAAAAGATTTAAATCTGATATTTTTATGTTTCTCAAACACATGAACAGCAAACATCTGCCACTAAATAACTGGAAGAAAAGCATCAGAACAGAATTTAAAACAATGTGTTCATTATACTATCTACTGATGCAATGTAGTGCGGGACGGCATTTTGAGATTACACAGGAGTAGGTGATTGCATGAAATATTGTTGATTATTTGAGACATCAGCACAACTGAAAAATCAAGACAGAAGAAGGAAGAATACCAATAATGTAAGTTTTGTTTATACGTATTTCAGAAAAATGTAAATAAGTTTAATTGAGAAAATTTATTTAGTAATAAGTGATAAGGCATTAGCAGATACTTTTTTTTTGAATTCTTTTTATGCTTAAGATCCTCTACGAAATGAAATGAATATTGTCAGTAAAAAAAGTATGATACTCTCCTAAAAGTGATACGTTTTTGTTTGGAAATTTTAGGACAATCATATTTAAATTGATATTAAGTTTATATTTCTTTGGAGGATGATTAAGGATTGGATAAACGATGTTGATAATTTTATTACTATAGATAAAATTATTAAAATATATACTACACAATTTTGAAACTATATTTATGAATATCTGAATTGCTATAGTTATATATAAAATTATTACTACAAAATGAACGCTAAAAATTAATAGTACTAATTAACAAATCTGATCTGTTTTTCTTTATAAGTTTCACCCATTCCTGAAATTTTGTATTTATGCTCTTATGACTGATGAAATGATGAAATGTATCAGGATTTGAAAAAATATTTTAGTTATCATAACTTACGTATAATTAACAAAAAACTGATAACATAGTGCTACAACTGCGCTGAATCTCTGGTAAAGATGAAAGATAAATATTTGCCACAGTACATTTAATCTGTGAGTACACCTGAATTTTTTTCAAGTTTTTCTAGTTACCTTGTGAGTTATCATATACATCGATAAAAATTATTCAATAGTAAAACTGATAACTTTTGTACGAAAGATATATTAGTTACTTTCTGATCCGTACTGTTAAGCTGATACCCCAAACTGGCCGGATTCTTGCCGATTGCAACAAAAAGTATGTACGTTTTAGTTCATTGTTAATGTGCTGTAATTAGAATTTGCTGGTAATTGATTACATTAATTTTATTGGTCATTGAATATTACAATGTGAATGCAATAATCGTATAAATTAAAGATTAATTAGAAAAGTTTGCTTGCTTACTCAGAAGGATAAATTTACAACTTATACAAAATGGAGAAATAATAAAATACTTGGTACCCTCGGTATGTGAGCTCATATATATATATATATATATTTAGCTTTGTAAGTGCCGTTAAAATGGTAGATAATAATAGATTGCTTGTGATTGCACATGAAAACTAAATTGTTTAATATATACGTATAAAATTGCTGTGAAATTGCCAAGAACCTCTTTTTAAACAGAAAAAAGCTCATGCCGTTGCAGATCAAAAGAACAGATTATGCGTCGAATTTATGGGATTTGGTAGCAACCGAAAAAGATTGAAAAAGCAGATAATGAAATGTGATTCATTCAAAATTGATGACTGAATAAATACATTCCGAAATGGGCGTTTAAAACTAAGTTTTTATTTTTTCACCGACGAATTTGTTTTTATATGTTCGTTTTAAATTTTATATTTTTTGGAGATTTTGTCTTTATTTTTCAATATTGGCAAGGTAGAATTTATTTAATTGAATTAAACAAAAATATGTTACTTCATTTCATGACATGATGTAAAATGGTACCTATCTTTGAAATGTGGTGGTCTACATTCGTAATAATATCGCTGATTTTTTTAAATAAGTCAGGTTTACGCATGGTTACTCATAATACGAATCTTAGGAGATGTTCCATATTTAACAAGAGTGCTAATAATAATAATATCCAAGGCATTTCATTTTTAAATTAAAGGTTTTATAATAGCTACAAACAGGTGTTTTGTAATATAAGGAATCTTTTGCTTCAGTAATATATGAAATTTTAAAACACAGTGGTCATGAATGCCATTGTCAGATAAATGATTTAATTGTATTTAATAAATTAGTTCATTGAACATTTTAAGGATTTTAAACTGACACAGTTAAAATTTTAATTGGCTCACAATCACCTCGTAAACCTGTAAAAGTCATTAGATTTGTCGAAGCGGAAGCTTGAAAAGTGTTGAATGCTCTAGACAAGATTTAAACTATCGTGATTGTTAGCCGGACGTGTTTCCAATTATTCTACGAAGGCAACCGATAAGGTGGGAGAAATTAACTTACAGTCTCTTCTATTTACAGGGCTACTTGAAAAGCGGGAACCCAGTCGTTAAATCCTGGTGGTGACGAATTATCTTCCACCAAATTCTGGTTGTGGCGCCATATGTAGAGTTCATTAGAATTTTTATCGAACGAAGAAATGTGAGAAATGTATGCGTTTGTCGAGATTCTAACTGCGGATATCTTGACTGCTAGTCGGACGTGCTTCCAATTACAATACTGTTGCAGGCGGTAGAAAAGGAGAAATTACATTGCATACTTTCGTATGACACCAGCAGATGATCAGATATTTTATTTAGTTACTTTCTTTTTGCTTTTCTGTTTGTTTGTTTTTTAATGTGGCAAAGAATAGGAGTTCTAACTGCATAAGGAGATGATTGATGATTGAGTTCATGGCAAACCTGCCGAGGAAAAGTGGTTTCTTTAACTTCTTAACAAACTTACCGTGATATACAAATTGTTTGGTTTATCAAAATGCATTTCTATCATGCAAAATTCGTCGATTATTATTACGTGCAACTCTTAACTATGAATTAAAAATAATTTACAGTTTTTCCACTGGATATTTTAAAATAAGCTCTGCGCTATTCTATGCATTTTATCTTATCTTTTACCACTATTTTTTTAATAGCTTTAAGTATACAAATTAAGTTTTCTCTATTTTACAATTTCGCTAGCTTTTACCGTAGAAAAGAAGGTAAATTCCGATATGTATTAAATTTCTCAACTTTAGGAATATAGTAATATTAAAATAATTTAATGACTCTCAAATGTTGAGTTGTACCTAGTAATTTAGTAACTTACTTAGCAACTAGTAAAATTAATATGATACATCCTGCAACGATAAAATGCAATTTTTTTGCCAATGTTTCCTTCCCAAACGATGAAAGATTTCTTCGAAATAACTATCGTGAAATTAATTGCTTAATATTGAAAATGTTTGATTCACGAGTTATTGGAGTAGTATACTAATTGAATGTAATAGCTGTAAATTAAAACCATAGAGAAAACTTAAAAGTCAAAACGCTTTGAAGGTAATTGAACAAAACTCTTTCGATTGCGAAGACGATCGTACACTGGTCTCTCATTTTCAGGAGAAAAAATTCTGCGGAAAAATTTCAGGAGGGAAAAATGGAATATTTGACTACGCATCTGTATCTAAACAATGGGCGTAGCAAAGAAAACACAAGCACGACGCCCTGTTGACAAAAATAATAATTAAATGATAAGACCTATGCAGTTAAAACACTAAAAGAGTTTAGGAAAGACTAATCAAAGATGATTTTGTTTCGCCTATTTCTTCTATATATAGAGAGTTATTGCTCATGACATTTTTCAAGATATTTTGCTTCTGACGAAGGGCTTGCAATGTCTAATCTTTTGCGAAATCAATAGACTTTTATTCATTATCAACGCCAAAGTAAGGTTGCTTTTTTGCCTAATTTTAAATTTTACATTGCCATTTTTCTCTTCCAAATTGGGTCTACGCTTTTATTATTAATTTTATTTTAAAACACACAAAGAGATAGAAATCTTTCGAGCTGTACGTCACAGAAGCCTTCACATGTGTGTCCCGAACATTCAAAGAATCTTAAAAGAATTATTTTTATGCAACTCATTCTAACTTTATGCACTTTGCTCACATTAGTTTTCAGTTCGGCGTCGGTGTGTTAGTTAAAGATAACTAAAAGCTATGTTAGAGTTCTGTTTGTCTCAAAACATGGCGGATATGAAGATTTTAGGGCGTTACTATAGGTTTAGTTTATTTGATTATTAAAAAGCACGCGCGGACTATCTGCGAAAGGAGAGGGATTCCTTTGCGGAGAACTCTGCAACGGAAACTGTCTCATATCAGCATTGCACATGAGAAAAGTTTCGAAACCGCCCATGCAGATTTGAACATGATTTGCCATTATTTGAATATACGTCGAATTATCAGTGTTCATCGATCCTAACCATCTGTCCACTGGTGAGGAACACTTAAGCTCTAGCAAATTAAATCATAATAGGCAGCAGGAATAGTAAATTAATCATAAAACATGGACATTAACTGCATTCAGATTGCTATCCTATGACCGATGATGTTAGTGAATTAATTTTTTCCCTGAAACCTGTTGTTTGAAGAGTGCACACATACGGAATCATTGCTAACACACATAATATACAACACGTTTGTCTTTCGAAATTCAGACACATAAAATAAACATTTCACGGAGCACTTTCTAGGAACTGGATTACGGCGCATACTATATCTGAACTATCGCGCATTTGTACTTGGATTATTCAGATGCTGTCAAGCAAAAGTGTCATATGACATCCCATGAAATGGCATGCACTTAACATGTCTACACAGATTTCATATTACAAACTTAAAATCTGCGTGAGGTTATATGTTCACACAGATATAATTATTGAATAAATCTAGGCGTAGTAATTTCAGTCGATGTTGGAAAAACTTCCAGTTTCTCCTCTCGATATAAGAATTACCACTGTTAGCCTAATTCTGTGGTAACATTCAAGTTTCAAAGCGCATTTGGTGCTGTTTAGTTCTATTTAGTAGTAATATGAACGTTACTAAGTATTGAGATAGTATACTAGAGACTATGAATCAGCTACTCAAATACAAATACGCATTCGGATTCATTCTGTGGAATGATAATATTATCAGCCATTGAACTAATCTCACATAGGAGTTAGTGGGCAAATAAGCAGAATTTATGGCCTAAAGTGACCATCTTATTCGCCCATCCAGAATTTCGTGCAATACGCATATTGTATTACACCAAAGGGATTTCATTTTAGAATACGAATTTACCAAATGCTTACAGGAACCGCGAAAGATTAGTGTGCTAGAACGGATTTAGTTCTTATCGGATTATTTGATTTCGAATACACATTATCTGCTGAAATTTTAGTTGCAAAGGTGAATTCCTCCACACTTAAAATGTCCGATTTCCGTTTATGTTCA